CAAGATACGGCAGGTCATTTATGTAGATGAGGAAGAGAAAAGGCCCCAGAATAGATCCCTGTGGAACCCCTATACTTACCAGGGCCCCGGGAGATCCCTTGCCATTCACGTCAACTCTCTGAACACGATAGCTCAAGTATGATGTCAGAAGATTGGGTGCGGCATCTCTTATACCATAGTGGTGTAGTTTCCTGACCAGAGTGTCATGCTGTACACAATCAAATGCTTTGGTTAAGTCACAGAATATACCAAAGGCATCCTGTGACTCTTCCCAGGCTTCAAAAATATTCTTAACAAGCTGAATACCCGCATTTGTTGCTGAGCGACCCCTAGTAAATCCATATTGCTTGTTATGCAACAAATTATGTGTACTAATAGAGGAACATTTGATTTAAAATTTTTTTTTCAAAAATTTTACTAAGAGTTGGTAGTACTGAAATAGGTTTAAAATTGCTGGAGTCAGAAGTACTACCAGATTTGAACACCGGAATGATCTTACTATGTTTCATAAGGTCAGGAAACTCGTCACGTTGAATACAAATATTAAAAATAGTTACTAAGTAAGTGAGACTAAATCAATTATAGAACTAATTACCTTGACAGAGATCCCCCATAGATCAACAGTTCTTTTAATATGTAGAGATTTGAATGTTTTTATAATATCCATCTTATTAACAGTAGTAAATTTAAAGTTTTCTTTGCAATCCATAGCATTTTTCTTAAGTAATGATTCGGGAATTGTTGGAGAAGAGAGAAGTACCTTAGTTGTAAAAACCGGAATGTCATCGAAAAATTTCTCGAAAAAATTGGCAACCTCCTGATTAGATTGAATAGTATTAATACCATCCGTTAAGGTTAAGTCAGAGTTGCGCTTCGTAACTCTACCCGTTTCACTATTAATTATATTCCACGTCTTTTCGATTTTTTCCAGATGCGCTGTTTATTTTATTCTTAATAAATTCTGATTTAGCCAGATAACAAACATTTTTAAATATTTTAGAATAGGCGCTAACATAAGCTACAAAAGAATTACTGTGATTGAATGTCTTTTCATTATAGAGTTCATACAGTCTACGCCTACTCTTATGAATTCCGACTGTTGCCCAATCATTGAAAACTGCAGAGCTTTTACGATTGACTGTCTTATAAGTAAATATAGCATTAAATTCCGTTTTAATTAATTTAAATAATATGTTGTAAAGCGCATCTGGACTGTCATTATAAGGTAAATATGTCAGCTTTTTTGTTATATTACTTCTAAACTTCTCAATATGAGTTCTATTTACAGGAACAAACATAATTTTTTTTAATTTATCATCACTACTTTTTTATATAATTTAAAAATTGCGAGTTGTTCGCAATGGTCTGAATTTAACATATTAATAATTGACTTATCGACTGGTTCATAATTTGTAAATATATTGTCTATACAAGTTTCCGAAGAAGTAGTGATTCTAGTTGGTTCATAAAATAGGTTAGAAAGGTTATATGAATTTAACAATGAGCTGAATCTAATAGTGGTGGTAGAATTTTCTAGAAGATTTATGTTAAAGTCACCACAGACAATAATATATTTATTAGATTCAGATAATTTCAATAATATTTATTGAAATCCATTTTCGAATGATTCATATAACGCACTAGGAGGTTTGTATACGCATACAATAATGAAATGCTCAAGCTCTGCACAGGCTATTTCAATAGTCAGCTCAACAGAGAGGCTCACAACATCTTTACGGTTTTTAAATTTCAAAGTATTATTGATAAGTATTAGAGAGCCACCACGTATAGCTTTTTCTCTGCTGAACAGGCTAGCAACCTGGTGACATCTGAATTTAAATATAAATTGATAATCCAAGAGCCAATGTTCAGTAATACATAAAATATCATTATTATTGCTGTTTAAGAATAACTCAATTTCAAGATCTTTATTTAGCATTCCTTGGATGTTTTAATGCACCAGGCTTATACAATTATAGCAATTTTTATAATTTATTTTTTTAGTTAATATTCTTGGACAATTCATTAAATCAAATTATTTATAATTAATGTGCCTGAGATTGCCTCCGTTGTCTTGTTATTTAATTTAAATTAATTGGTACGAATTCCAATTTTTTATCAGTCATATCTCCTTGCTGTTCAATAGAAAAAGCAGTCTGGTTAGCCAATAATTTGGCTTGGTTAAAAATAATAAAGAATAATAATTAAACTATAATAATAAAACTAAAGAATTAATACTAGATATAATAACTACATACTAGATTAATAGTCGAAACTAAATACTGGATAAATAATTTAAAACCTTACTTTCGTAGCTAGCTGAACTAAAAAGTAGAAAATGATTTTCTATAAGTTCAAAAAAAATAGAGTGATTAAGAAAAACATAACTTTATCGTAAAAAAGCGTGGGGTGCTTTTTAAGATATTTTATAGTAACTTTACTTTTAGCAATATCTATGAGCCGTGATTTACCGTTACATCGGAATATAATAGAGAGTAATAAATAACGGAGACGCCCATGATCATATGATCCATTATTTCCACTATATGGCTGGTTGCCATATGGCAATCAGCCATACAGTGGAAATAATAAATAAAATGGATAAGTAAGCGGTAAATTCATCTTAATGCCAAACCACGTTCGACAGTACGTTACCCCAGAAAGTGAACTATATTTCACCGATGCCGACAGCATAATATGCAACATGCATCCGTGACATAAATCTAATTGAGCATGTAGTGGTTAATTCAAAACGAACCGAATGCAAAATATCAAGCTAACGCTAAAGCACACTACAGTCACACGGCGTTACGTTCGTATAAAGGTGAATTAGTATTTTATAATCTTTGTTTTAATGTCATTTGAATTAATATTTTTTAATCAGTAAATATTTTGTATGAAGCACTTTGACGTAGTTTTGTCCTGATTTGTTCGTTATAACTAACCTCATCAAAGACAAAGAAAAAAGAAGTGTATCCAAAGACACTCAAATAAACTTTACAAATTTGTTTTAAGTTATAAAAAACGTTAGTGTCATTTTTTTTTGCAAATGTAGTAATTTACATTGCAAATGTTATGAATTGCAACCTATGTTTTGTATAGTATGTTGTATATATTTGTTTAAACAAATTCAACAAGACTCCATGTCTGCCACTCGGGGTCTCTCTATCAAGGGGGAAGGTTGCGCGCGTAGGCTCTTGCGCCCTGTTCTCCGGCGGCTGATATAAAGGGTAGCAGTTGCCTCCCTTTGTCTCTCCGCTGCCTCCTTCCGGGTGATTAAATTCTCGCAAAATGCGAGGACAGCACCCCACGACCTCTCGCTGTCAACCATAGCGCGAACTACGGCAGGCAACGAGAGATCGTGCCAAACGATAGCACACGCTGCTCCATGCAGGCTGAACACTCCTCCAGTGCGTGTTGGGCTGTTTCCTCGGCACATATGTCACAGTGGTGGCATGCCGCTGTGGGCTCCCTCCTCGGCACGCGAAACAGATACCTCCCGAAACACCCATGTCCCGCGAGGACCGGCGTCGCACGGTCGGTGAGGGTGCGTGTCGCCTGTCCAGCCACCTTCTGAGGACAGGACGTATAGCCTATACGGTTCTTAGGCCGACACTGGGGTGCTCTAGCCTCTGCTCCCACTCCCCGATGGCGTTTAAGCGCAGGCGATCCCTGCGCTCCCACAACTCCTCCGGGGCTGGCATATGGCCTGGGCTCTTGCAGCCTCGCGCCAGGAGTACAATGACGCGAGGATTTTAGCTTCTAAATCCCAAGGCCGGCCGGCATGAAAGCTGGCCAACAAATAAGCCGCCTCACCGGAGATCGTCCGGTAGCCCCGTATGGCCCGAATAGCCAACACCGTCTGCGGTTTGCGCAAAAGCGCTTGGGTCCGGCGCTTCAGGGTGTTAGCCCAAATGGAAGCTCCGTACAGAGCCGTGGACCGCACGACTCCGGCGTATAGGCGACGGCAGGAATCATTAGGGCCGCCAACGTTCGGGAGCAGTCTACTGTGAGCTGCCGCTGCTTTCGCCACTTTGGGAGCCAGAATCTCGAAGTGGGCCCGGAAATCCCATCGGCGATCTAGAACTAGGCCGAGGTACCTCATCGTAGATGTTACATCAACACGGACCCCACAGACAATAATGTGAGCATCCCCAGGTGGCGCGTTCCGAGGCCCATAAAAACATAGAGCCTCGGATTTATTCAGCGCCACCTCTAGCCCTAGTCGCCGAATGCGTCCCTCCACCTGAGCCACTCCCGCAGAGGCGAGAATAGCGGCACCCCGAAAGTTTGTGCCACGGGCGGTCACAAAGGTGTCATCGGCGTAACAAATCACCTCGACACCCCTGAGATAGGCGCCACATAGCACCTAGTCATAACCTATGTTCAACAGGAGTGACACCGACCCCTGTGGAACACCGCACGTCACCTCGATGGTCCGATGCCCGTCTTGGCACTGAAACTGAACACGGCAGTTCTCACTACCCCTAGCCATCGACACTCAACGGCCATTGGAGGCACGGTCTGTACCGAGCCACGGTGAGTGGTGACATATCTCTCCGGTAAGATAACGGACGCATGATTGAAAGCAAAAATACTAGTAAAAGTAAAAGTTTCTAGGTCTACCTAACTTGGGAACAAACACCTAGATACGGAACTAATAACATTTATTTTAAAATTTTCTCTGAGGGCCATATGAAAGTCGCCCAAGTTGAACATGAATAAAATAAACACATGTGCTATATTTATATTTTTTTATATTCGATAATGTTATGTAATCAAATCAGAGCATTATCAGAATCAAAAAAATATGAGCCGCATCCGCAAAAAAGCGAATGACTGAGTATTTAAACGCAGAAGAACGTTTAAATTTTTTAGTAGTGGCTGACCGGTTTGCTCGATCAATGTTGGATGTCAATTCTTCTAAAAGTTGGTGTTGCTTCGTACGGTTCTCTTGGTTTAAAAAAGAAGTTCAAAATAAAAAAAAAACTAAAAATAAAATGCTTTCGTCGCGGTCGCTTTTTTTAAAAAGAAGTGTCGCTTGGTAAGTTTTTATTATGTTTACAGTATAAAAAATAAATGTGGAAATATTTTAACGGATACAATACGTTTATTATATATATTTATAAACTTAATACCCGAAGTTTCGATTAATTGAAAATTTTAAATTATAACAAAAGAAAGAAATTCGTAAAAATAGTTTAAAGTGTTCACATAAATATAATAAATAATGGTTTTATGACAATTAAAACTTTTTAAACATGTCTGTTTTATACTTCTGTTGTTAGTAATTTTTATTATTATGTGCTGAATTAGTACGAGACACACCTATGTTCGAGATACTGTATATCGGATGTTGCATTTACTGCACAATTGTAATTATTGTTCCTTATAGCGGGCATAACGCGTTCACAAAATATTTTAGCAAGCTAAAATGGCCTATCAAGATCTGATTTTATTAAGTACTAGCTGTCCGGACTTCCTTCTTTCTTTATATATTCAAATATATATAATATTAAAATATTCCGTGGACCTTAAGGAACATACAAAAAAAAAAAGTAAATTAGCCGAATTGGCCCAATTATTCTTGAGTGCGCTTACCAACATTAATTTTTACTTATTAAGATATTTGATAGTTGAGATGTTCCAATTTCAGTAATTAATTAATAAAAACTTTATTTTTTAGTATATTTTTTTTAAATGTCAGGCATATTTTTCGGGGCCTCCATTAGGCAGCCCGCAAGTATACATCGTCATTTGGTTTGAAAACTTAATGGTAGTTACGGTTAGCTAAACCACTTACAATATATATTACTAATAGATTTTGTATTAGTTTTACCGGATGCATAATTAAATTAAATTCTATTTTCAGTGTCAACAGCCATTACAATCAATCGCCATTATTACTAAGACTTAATGACGAGTTCAAAAACTATTTACCGAAAATCGTGGAGAATTCTTTGAAGGACAAAAAATACGCTGATTTCACAGAAATTAAGCACCGCATAGCAAAAGTAACTTTATGCATTATTTACTTTTGTTAACTGACTTCATTTTCGACTGGCTTGATATGGCCTTGGTAAACTGATGGCAAATAATTACCGTCAGTTTACCACCGCACCTACACAGGTCTACAGGCGCAGGTTTGTATTTCCGCCTGTGGACATCCATCAATTGGTTACCGCGGTGCAGCCAACCTTTAAGGCGGTGGTCACGGATTCCTTATGAAACAAATGCAAACATACTTACTGTATTCCTTATGTATTAACTTATTCCTTAGATTTGGTCTACAAGTAAAGTGTTGAGTGTCCCTCAGGTATAATGCAATTGTGCTTCATAAAATAATTGCCTGTCGGATTATTAATTCTAGATATATAAAATATAACAGAAGGATGTACTGTAGCTGGCATGAGGCTCGAAACAACCGAGTTTCGAGTGTCGTGGTCTCGGTTCCCATCATTCGGGTTTTATCTCAACAGCAGAAGGCCGGTCAGTGGTGACGCTAGCCTATGGGCCACCCCTATCTCTGATCGCAGTAGTAGTCAAGTAGCAAGCTACATACGAGGTGTTGCGGAAACTGTTTCTGCACGGTGGAGCTGCAGTCCCTCCATTGGCTTCGTCAACCAAAGTGGGTTTGGTGGGAGTCGGCGTCTATCGAGCACGGTGAGCAGAGTGTGTGGCCCGTTGTCGGCTTTGCCGTATATGCGACAAGCGAACCGGCCATAAAGTCTTCGATGGACTCCATCCTGGGATCACAGGCTATTACGTCATTCCTGATGTAACGCCCAGCACCCACGATCACTCAAAGGGCGATGTTCTACTCCGCTTCTACGAGGCGGAAGCCAGTCCGTACCACGGCCACTTAGGTCAAGCACGACCGCATGTACAGATGTACAGAATGTTCGACTTGGGAAGCCGTACGCAGTGAACGGTCTATCCGACATCCAAGATACTAGATTGTGTTCTCATTTTTGATCGCTTGACCCGTAGTTCAAGCATAGGTTGGCATTAGCCAAGATGAATATTAATGATAGAAATCTGTCATCTACATCCGCCACATTTAATAATGTGGCGGATGTAGATGACGGACTTCTTGTGGAAAAATAACAGTTAATTCATTAAAGGTTCATTATATGTTGAAAATATTATTAATTATAATTTTATTCCATTCTATGCGTAAATTATATAGATCATTACGCGTAAATTTTTTTTTTCTGGAAGTTTCAAAAGTGTCCATATTCTAGCAATATTCATAGCACATACATATTTGTCAGAAGTGTATACCTTTATGTTAATACGTGAAGCAAAAATTTTGTACCTCTTTTTTACGAAAATTGTGCGGACGTATGAAATTCCCACACTCATAGTTTATATAGAGAAATTTATATTTTTTTAAATTATTCATAAAAATACTTTAAAAAACGTTGCACACACTACCATGTATAATTAATTACGGTTGAATTTCGAGCACAGAGCGATTTATAATTATAATGTTGTAAACTTCAGATGTCCGAATACCATACTCTGGCAAGGGAGCCGATACAGGGAAAGCTTACATTGCTCGCATTTAGCTGGCTTGCGAGCCCCGGTGATTTGACCGAACAAAATTTGCATCAAATTAAAGTCCTGGCTTGGGCGATCGAATTGGTGAGCTAGATATATTTCAACAGATTCATACAAAGCAATAACTGCATGAGTGCATGTAAAAGCAGTGTGTTAGCGGCAATAATTTTAAACAGGTTAAAGTAATAGTAGAAAAGAAAGACAGCTTCAGTGGCTCTATATTAATATTGTATAGAACTTAAAGAAGATACGAATAATATACAGAAATATAAAATTGTAGCTACAATCATATTTTCTTATCGGAGATGATGTAGACGATAAATGCAAAACACGGTGCGGGAAACCTTGCTGGCATTTACTGCCAGAAGTAGGTTCTTTTGCATACAACGACGCCTGTTTACTGCGAAGTTTTATTTACGAAATACTAAGGAATAATATTGAAGACAAGCTACTCCTTAAGACGACCAATTATTTTAATGAGGTATGACATTAAATTTAATTCCTTAATTCAAATTATAATTCAGAAATTTAGATTTATAATTTAAATTACCGTACATACGCTGACATTGAAATACACGCAAAGTTTTGAATAACAGTAAAATGTAAATGTAAAATAAACCCACCATGTTGAATCGAATCATCTACTCTCTACTTATCAAAATCCACTTCACCAACTTAATTCCACTTCAAAAAACTCTTGAATTGCTAGCATGTCTTCTGATTCGCAATTAGTGGTGGGTTAAGAGTGAATATGAGAACATATCTGAATAAATGTTTTATTTAATTAATATGATGGGTTTTCCTTTTCAGACATTTACGTTGGTTAATTTTGGCCAGTACTTGGACATTAAGCTGTGTCAATCAAAGAATTTTAATGAATATACAATAGAACAATATAATAAACTCATGAACTACAAGACATCATTCTATAATGTGAAATTTCCAATTCTCTTAGCCCTTGCAGTTTGTAATAAAGATAACACGGAATCGTATCAAATAGTTGATCAAGTATGTACGGACCTTGGAATAGTGTTACAAATACAGGTGAGGTTACTTAAAGTCTTTTTTTGTTTCTCATATAAAAATCAATTAATCTTAAATAAATTGTATGAAAATAAAGGATTAAAATGTATCCGCAACAACTTTTATTTTGCGAATACACGTGACGTCAAAACTTTGCAACGAAAATAAAAGTACCAAGAAAACCATAGTCCAAACACATCCGTCATCTTTGCCATAACATAAATTTTGAGAAAATATAAATTTGAGCTTTGATTGAGCTTTGATTTATTTTATAACAATTGTTAATTTTATAACAATTCCAATTATATTTTGATTTTAATGCTTCAGAATGATTTAATGGACTACATTAACTATAAATCTGTATCAGTGAAGAGCAGTACGGATATTGAAAACGGAAAATGCTCGTGGCCAGTAGTAGCGGCATTGCAGCATAGCAACCCATGGCAGCTTCGTGAATTAAAAACGTGCTATGGACGATGGGAACCCGAGAAAGTGGAACGCATATTAAATTTGTACAAAGAACTAAATCTGCCTCTTCTTTACCGCCAAGAAGAGGACAAACGATTCCAAGCAGTTACACAGAAAATTGGAGAATTGTCTACAAATTCAACACCTTCACCGCATTTTTTCCATCAATTAGTAGAGTTTATTCGTCCATATACTGCGAACATAGCACCGTCATGTTGATGAGAAACAACTATTTTGTATTTATCGTATACATGTATTTATATCATGTAATGTACAATGAGACAGCAAGATCACTATATATTTTATAACTATGAATGCAATTTCAAATTGATTCCCACAATTTCTCTCTATCTGTTTTGGAGTTAGTAGTATTACTTAATAGCATTCCATCAAAGTCCCTTTTTAAATAACTGCAAGAAGGAGGAGGTTATGTATTCGGATGGAATCTATATATTTATGCATGTTTGGGCATAACACTAGATATAGACGGATTTGCAAAAATTGATTTTTTTGTTCAAATGGGCTTATTCAGAAATGGCCCCATTTAAATTTCGTCTGGATCTGATGATGTTTCGGCGACAGACAACAGAACTCCCCAAAAACTGACAGAAAATCAACTGCGATTCAAATGAAATTGTTCAGCCTATAACAAATTTCTGGTATATCTTGCCACTTATCGAACCAAATTTAATCTTTCGACTCTTGCTTCTGACGTTTCTTCTAACGTAAACCTCTGACTTGAACTAGCACTTAAGACCCTAAGTCGTAGTCGTTGCTCGTCAGTTTTATTAGCTAAACGAACATGTATTAGAACTAAAGTGGTATAATATAACGTTGATTTTTGTACTGGATATAAAAATTATTTGACGTAACACTAAGTAAATTATAATTCATTAATATAATTTGTGATACTCTTCGAGCCCAATGGTGTTTTAAATGTTGACGTCCGATTAGTAATCCAAGTGATTTTGCCCTGATGAATCCAAGTTATGATCGTTAACAGCTAATCTTACGCCTAATGAGAAATCGTAGATGTCATCACTTTGAGTAAAGCGCGATTTTACCCGGCTCGACGTCTTCTTTTTATCTGTTGATACAGTTTAAAATCTAAAAAACAATACCATTCTTCATTAAAAACAACAAAAATCATAAAAATTTAACAATTGTGAAGTTATTATAATTTTTGCTAAAAAGCTACGCTTAAAAATTCTCAAAGACAGTTGATAACCCTACTGTCGTCTGCTGCAGTGAAGTTTACTTGACGACGCCAAACACCCAGTTGATATTTTGGTCTCATCAAGTGAAATTATACCTAATAATTATTTACCACAATTATTTAAGAATTTGCTTTTTTCATTAAATTTGGGAGCGAAATTTGGCATTTCATTTAAATGGCCCTTGGCGAAACGGTTAAACTTATGTCAAGTTCATTTTTGAATTGCCCCCCTAAACAATCATGGGGGATCCCTGTGGGGCGTGAACCCCACGTTGGTAAACACTGGTCTATAACAATGACAAACCGTAAGTGTTTTAGGTTGTCGATGTTGCAAGACACATAAAAAAGGCTGATGTTGCAAGACACATAAAAAAAGGCTTCCAATTTTATAAACTTTACTAAAAAATCAAAGGTAAGATCGAAAATTATTATGCATATTTCATTACTCAGTAATTTTTATCTAAATATAATTTCCAAAATACACGATTTACCAAAAAAAAAAAACAAACCGAGCAAAGCTCGGCCCTCCGGGTACTATATATATATACAAGAATTGCTCGTTTAAAGGATAACATACTAGCGATCCGCCCCGGCTTCGCACAGGTGCAATTTATTATGTATTTGCGGGACGACTTTGTTTTATACTATGTAGTGATAACCAAACATAGCCAATTTCATATGAAAGGATCTGATAGCTTGCTTCAAATCCGAAGAAAATTAAGTTCTTCATGTACGAACGTAAGAAATAATACTTCTTTATCGTAACCAAAGAAAAATAACCTTATATTCTTTGATTGAGATGCAGCAAACCTTAACAAACGACGCGCTCAAACTGTCTCTGACTGCGTGATAAGTGTGAGTAGTGCCGCTCGTGTACTTATTTTAAACAAACTGGCAAGGCGTGTGCGTGTTTAGGGATGCCTGCTCCAAACTATTAAGTTATTCCCATAATAAAAAATAGGTTGAATAATGTAATTAATTTGTAAATTAGTAATTTTATTTACTTTTCTAAGTAATATATTGAAAAAATACGGTAGTTACTACATAAAAATCTATTTCTAAAATTTGCTATAAAATCTCTTTAATCTTTGATCGCTCTCCAGCGATTTGCAAGTACGGAATCCGTAGAAAATCTGTAACCTAAAATAAAAGAAAGAACTAACTAAAGTACTATTCAGTGCATTATGTCATTTATTTTGTGTAGGTAAATTATCATTAACTGTTCAAATAAATAATGTATTTTTTTAAATATTAATGTTCTGATCAAATGATAATGTAAGGATATTTATTGGTTTTTTGTCTCTCATAGTTGCCCAAAAACTTCTTAGTAATAAACTGACAACACCGGCTAATCAGACTAACCTTCGAAATAACGAATTAAAAAATCGTGTTTTCTTAAATTAATAGTGAATAAACAACAAAACTCACCGCTAAAAAGTAGTCTTGGTATTATTATACGATTTTCCCACATAATTGCGACACGATTTGTGCCACAAACCGGCATAATTAATTATTTTTCGTGAGCACTTTATCCGTGATTCAAATGACACTGACGTAAGTGAAACACGAGTCTACCAAATTTAGTAAACATTAGTGTTTGCGCTGTTTGGTACGGCTCATATGTCATCTAGACAAGTATATAATCAAAGTTTATATTATATAATTTTTATCCCATGTACTCTTCTTTACTGCTGAAAAAGAAATTAAATGCAATTGGCATTTAATTTCTTTAAAGGTTTAATTATATAACTGGAAATTATAGGAGAATGTCAATAAGTTGTTATTGGTTGCTATGGTAATATCGTGCAAAGAGAATGTAGTCACTACGTTTATTGATATCGTGTAATTGGTCGTTTTGCAACCAACTTCGTCTTGTCGCTTTTTGACAGTCGGTATGCGTGCGCATCATAAAAATCTCTTAATTTTTTTCTAAACACGAAGTAAAAATGTATGTGTAAAACTGTTTAAGTTGTAACATAGATGCCGTTTTAGTTGTACCTTATATTGCTACACTCTCATATTTTGTCAAACGCGCTAAAAGGAGTATAACTTAAAAAAATATTTAGAAGATATAAATGAAGTCCGCAAATCCACAGTGGGTTGCATGCTCGACTATGCCCTAATACCCTCTGTACAGTGGCATTTTTGGCCTTTGCCCAGCAGTGGGACATGTATAGGCTGATACTTTACTACTTTATTCTTATTATAATTAAGTTAGACTTCTGTATAATGTTTTTAGTTACTATAATAAGTTGATAAGTCATTTTGAAAACTTCGATACTGAAAGGATTAAAAGATTCTCTATCTCTAAAGGGCTTTTAAATTTTGTAATATTGTGAAAACTTACTGTGAAACGTAAGCTTTTTTTTTCATAATACACATACTATTGCTACAGTTGAAAGCGTAGCAGGAATATTTTAAACTGCATGTAGGTTGTGTAAGTATAATTAATTTTAAATAATACATTTTGTCTATGTACCATTAATTTCAGTGTCCTTTTTGCAACGGTCGTGATATTGAAATTAAAACTGAAATATCGTTGAATGAAGTGGTTTCTTTCAGAAATGGCCAAAGTCGAAGATTTTACGAAAAAATTACAATGAACGGCAATCTGGCGAATATGTACATTATACATTTCTAAATGAGTAACCATTAATTTTTTTCTAAGAATAGCCCCAATTTTATCGCAATTAAGAAGAATTGTAGAAATCTTATATTCCTTGCAATATAGCCGTACTTTGGCCGTCCTGGCTCAGTGTCCGTGAGCTCTATTTTAATTCATTTAAATATACTCGAGCAACATGAGTACAAAGCCCGGTTCCAGTGCGAATGAAATTGTTAATTTTAAGTGCTGACTTATAATGTGCTGATCGGTGAAGAAAAACGTCGTGAGGAAACCTGTTTATTTTCGAAATAATAATAAAAAAGCGTGTGTGTGAACTTATCCGTAAGTAGGTAACAAAAGAAAAATAACTAAAAAAACTGTGCCAGTACACTTTCGTGTATGAAAAACATTAAACGGAATAAATAACGATTTTTTTTAAATAACTTTGAGTTATAAGTAAATATTAAAACATTTTTATGATAATACCGTGAAGATGATCATTTTGCAATCAACTTCATCAAGTCACCTTTTTGAGGGTTAGTGTGCGTGCACATCGTGATACTCTCTGTTGTAGTTAGTCTTAGGATATAATATTATAGTCTTAACAGAAGTAAGGAGAATCTACACTCCTAAAATAATGTGTACAATTACGAAGTAAAAATGTATGTGTAAAATAAACAGTCGTAACATAGATGCCGTTTTACTTGTACCTTATATTGCTACACTCTCATATTTTGTCAAACGCGCTAAAAGGAGTATAACCTAAAAAAATATTTCGAAGATACGTGAAGTCCGCTAATCCGCAGTGGGGCCGCGTGGAAGACTATGCCCTGATACCCTCTGTACAGAGGAGGCCTTTACCCAGCAGTAGGACATGTATATGCTGATACTTTACTTTTTTACTTTATTATTTACTTAAAGAATTTATGTAATTACTTGGCAATCAGTAGAAATTATTATTTTAATATATACACATGGAAGAATGCGGTTAATTTTATATATGACTAGTTGACTCGGCAAACTTTGTTTTGCCATATAAATTATTTGTAGAGGAATCGGAACGCACGCATAAAGTGTTTTACAGGTTACACCTCTGTACAGATTACCCAGTTATTGGAGATACTCGTGTATAGGCTCTACATTTTGATAAGGTTCCCGCGTTTTTAAAGACAATTTATGACGTTTATGGATACTATAAAACAATTGTAAACAGAGTCATTATTAAACTTTCCCTTAATACCAAGCAACGTTCCTGCATAGATAAAAATAACAGCCACTACAGTTGTCTGAAAGAGGAAAAGAATTAACAAATGAAACAATTTTAAGTTTTCTTATTCTTTACCGTTTTTTATCTAAACCACCTTCTTAATTTGTATATTGTTACTTAATCTATTGAATTAATGCACTATTCTGTTTTTTATCGTGTTATTGAAAACGTTTGTGATGGTTTTTAGCGACTCCTTTTTAATTAGGTTTTTTATAAAAATAAAAAAATGTCTATTGTCTTAACAAATTAGAACAGCAGTCAAATTGTTTCATATTAAGTTCCTTGATGACCTTTGGGGTTTTTTTTCTTAAAAAAGAAGGGGAAGAAATAGAAAAAAAGAAAAAAAATAGATGATTTTTTGTGCACGATGGGCACGAACCGGGGTGGCGAAATTCACCTTTATATTCTAATAATAGAAGTTTTTCATTGCCTGAAAACACGAATAAAACGATTTCCGAAAATGAAACTTAGCTAGATCGATTTAACGCCCCCGAAACCGCCGGGATGGATATGGTATTAAACTATTACAGACGTTGTTGCGTTGGCCCCGAATTATATTTTTAACAATTTGTGCAAAGGTTTGTTTTGGTGCTCATAATTACGGAGATATTTAAAAAATCGGCCAAGTGCGAGTAGGAAACGCGCGCGAAGGAGAATTATCCCATCCTATACCATTATCTGTAAAACATAAAATAAAATATGGGGTAACATTGTCTATAAAAACGAAAAAAGAATTATTCTGGTTTTTAGTATTTGTTGTTATAACGGCAACAGAAATACATCATCTGGGAAAATTTCAACTGTCACTGACAAATGAACAGACAGACAGATTGCGGAGGAATAGGGTCTCATTTTACCCTTTTGTACGGAACGCTAAAAACGGCAAAAAAGTTATGTCTATTGTATGGCAACCCCACTTAATTATTTTTTATTATGTTTTTTAGTACTTGTTGTTATCTGTGAAAATTTCAACTGTAACTATCACGGTTCATGAGATACAGTCAGGTGACAGACGGAAATACAGACGGATTGTTGGCTCCGGCTAAGATAAAAAATTGGAGACAACAAAATAATCTGCTATGACTACGTCTGCGTAGAAATGGCTGAAGGTGTAACATTAAGACAGAAAGACAGATATACATAAAATTTGTATATAAATATAGCCTGTGTCTTATTCTGATGTAAAAGCTATATTATTGTAGTTTCATTAAATTCCATTCAGTAGTATTTGCGTCAAAGAGTAATAAACATCCATCCATACATACAAACTTTCGCCTTTATAACATTAAGTAAGGAAGTAAGGATTCGGTATCACAGTTAAAGAAAATCAAGAAAAAGGAAATGTATATGTGCAGCCGTGATAGCTCAGTGTCCGGGCGCTCGCCTTTAATTCAATATCTCGAGCAACCTGAGTTTGATCCCCGGTGCCGGCACCAATGAAGTTTTTAACTTTAAGTGCTGACTTATCACGTGCTCCGCGGTGAAGGAAAACATCGTGAGGAAACCTGCATATTTTCGAAATAATAACAAAAAAAATATTTCGATGATATATCTATCATACATATGTTATATTCACATATATGTGAAGTCCGCCAATCCGCAGTGGGGCCGCGTGGTGGACTATGCCCTGATACCTGTACAGAGGAGGCCTTTGCCCAGCAGTGGGACATGTATAGGCTGTTACTTTATTTTACTTTAATATATGTGCATACCACATGGAAGGCTGTCACTGTCATAAATATGGATTGGTGGGGAATATAAAGTTAAGAAGGAAACTTACAGATGTATGTAAAATATGAAGTCGAGAAATTTTCATAACATTAAAATATAGTAACAGCCGCATTTGTCCGAATCTTAAGTGCATTATATCTGATTACATTAAATGGCATTGCAACTTGTTACGACTTTTACTGATCGACGAATTCATTACTATGTACATATATATGCAGACATGTTTGCATGCATTTATATTACGAGAATTCTGTCCTGGATCTAACAGTCATCTTGAGTTAGCTTTATCGCTATTATCTGTAAGTTGCTATTTTAAATTCACGTCATGGTCGGTATCAGAGTGTTTTCTCGCAAAATGGCTTCTAGGAGGGCGTTTAATTGTGTAAATAATTATTTAACCTGGTAAGTAGGGACTGACAAGCGCATTTGATAATTTAAAAGTTTTTGAATTACATACAAAACAAATAAAATTAATAAAAACCGATATTACGATTCTATTTTCCAGGCATTGTGGTCCCATCAGAAGCTTCAACACGAAGTCATTATTACCAGAAAAACTAAAAATCGAATTTGAAAATTCTTTACCGAAAATAATTGAAAATGCTGTAAATCGCAGTTATTTTGTTAACTCGCCAGATGCAGTTCTTCGAATGAAGAAAGTACTTATTCTTGATATTATTGTTGTTTATATACTATATTTCTACAAAGTTTGAAAAATTAATATGAAATTGCAAATGGTTACAGATAACAGAATATATAACTTGCACAAAAACTCCCGTTCAAGGCGAAATAATGTTGCTTGCCTACGAAATGCATGAGCAAGGTAAAAATATAACCGAAGTATCAAAATATCAAGCAAACGTTTTGGCATGGGGTTTAGAAACGGTAAATAATACATAGATAATAATACATAGATTATGTTACAACAATATCAAAAAAAAGTAAGGAGTTTTAAATATTATGTCTGAAGTTATAATATTATAAACTCTCAATTCCCTTGTTTAGTTTAAAATAATCTGCGATTATACTGGAAATAACCATAATTGAGATGTCATTGTCGCCATCGAAATTACATCGAAATTGTACCATTAAATTTAAAGTACCTGGAGGACCGAGCTTTTTTTTGGTAAATCATGTATTTTGGAAATAAAAACAATTAAAAATAAAGAAAATGATCTGGTATAGAAAAAAAAGTAAAAAAAAATAAGTGTGTAAATGATCGTGATACGAACCGCGGCCGTTTGTTTTGGGGCCCCCGATTACCGACCGAGCTATTATAACATTTTTTTTGCGGCGAAATTTACTGTCATATTCGAATGATATTTTTCATTCACTGAAAACAAGGATAAAAGAACATTTTCTAAAAATGAAACCTAGCTAGATAGATTTTTCGCCCCCGAATCTACGCACATACTAAATTTCATGAAAATCGCTGGAGCCGTTTCCGAGATTCCAATTATATAAGAGAAATTATACAAGAATTGCTCGTTTAAAGGATAAGAAATATGCATAAAATTCTATGTTTAAAATATATTTTAAATATAACCCTAGTTGCAATTAAAGCTATTTAGGCCACTTTAAACACAAACACGACGAATAAAAATTTCGTGTTATTATAATATTGTATTGTAATGGTAAATTACTATTATCCCATAAGATCTTTTTTATGTGTAAAGTTGGCAAGTGAGCAGGCGGTTAACGTAATGTTAAGTAATTGTCGTGTCATCTTTAAATATTTCAGCTGCAAACGTATTTTCAAGTTATGGACGATATAGAAGATCAAGCTGAAATAAGAAATGGTAAACCTTGTTGGCACTTGTGCACAGATGTTATTCAGGCTATCAACGATGTTAGTATGCTCCGAAGTTTCCTGCAGGAGATGCTGCGGCAAAATTTGGACACTAAGATGTATGTTAACGCATTGGACATTTTTAATGAGGTGAGTCGGTGAGGATGATTGGTGATTTTCCTGATTTATTTGTACTTAAATTTCAGTTTTATTTTCATTATTTTATCTCAGATCTACACCCATATAACGATTGGACAGCAGATAGATTATGAAATGTCAAGAAGAAAAAAATATGACTCCTTTACTGAAAGTGCGTACAACGACATGGTTAGACACAAATGCACAAGTTTTTGCGTGAAATTTCCTATTCTTTTAGCGCTTCAGTTATGCAACAAGCTCAATCGTCAGTCTTACGATGTAATTAACAAAATAAGTGAAGATATTGGCGCTATAATACAGATACGAGTAAGTCCTTATTGTTTAAAAGATTTCCTTTTGGTTAGTTTGAAATTTTCATTTTATATAAAGTTGAAGATCAAAATGTTTTTAGTTTAATCACTTTTATAGAATGATTTTGCTGATTGCTTCATAGAAGATTCCATAACGGGAAATAGCGGCACAGATATAGGAAAGGGTAAATTTACATGGCTTTCTATGGCCGCTCTTCAAAGAGGTAATGCAAAGCAACGAGAGGAATTTACACAGTGTTATGGAAATTTCGATAAAGATAAAGTAAAGAAAATTCGACAAATTTATGAGGAATTGGAGCTTCCCGAACTTTTCCATGAAGAAATAAGGAAACGTTTACAAAATTTTCAAACTCAAATAAATCAATTACCTGTCCAAGTAACGCCATCTTTGGAATTTCTCCGTAAACTTCCTGAATTGCTTAATATTAAAATACCATAAGTGTGAATTCACCACATTTATTAATTAAATTTCTATTATATTTAACGAGATTAAATACATTTTCTTATTTCTAGAACAGAAGAAAATTTTAGTGTCAACGCAAACTTACAGATAAATAAAGGAATGAAGGAATACGTTATTTGTTTTACTAAACTACGTTTTAAGCTATTTTTTTATCCTGATTGCTCATTGTCCGGGCGCTCACTTTTAATTCAATAAACTCGAGCAACCTGCGTTCGATCCCTGGTGTCGGCACCAATGAAATTGTTAATTTTATGTGCTAACCTGCAAAAAGTCCGCCAATCCGCAGTGGGGTCGCGTGGTGGACTATGCCCTGATACCCTCTGCAAAGAGAATGCTTTTGCCCAGGAGAGGGACATATATAGGATGTTACTTTACTTTTTTTAAAAATGTTCACATGATAGGATTGTTCGCTTGACCTTACATGCGACAACCGTTACTCTCAATTAATTATAGGCTAAGTAGGCAGTCTTAGACAATGGATAATATTGATACTTAAACTATGGACCTAAAAACTATTTAAGTACTGACCTTTAACATACTTGTCTAGATGGATATTAAGTTAAGATCCGTATCCGTATCTGTATCCGCGGATTTTGACACCAATGCGGATCATTAGTGATATACGCGGATCTACATTTTTAATGATCCGGCATATCACTAGTTAGTGTATTCATAGCGCACATGTATTTATCTGTGAGTACAAATATAATGAGACCAAAACCATAATTTCGGTGAAGTTAAATAGGTTTTCGTCAAAAAGGCAGTTGTTGACTAGACTATATTGGCAATTCTAATTGACAGTGGTCCCTCTGGAAACAACAATGTAGGATTTAACTACGATTTGATGTAATTTACATCAAAATTATGCATTTATTAGAGATGTTGACTTTAAAACAACATTTACAGCTCAGCGTAAAATAATTATAATTTTAATTTGAAGTTTTGACTTAATATCAAGGCTGAACTCATTCCATAGAAGTAATCAGTAAAGGAAAAAAATATAGCTTACAAACGTGAAGTGGAAGTATTAAACTTTCGTCAGTCGTCTGGTGATTGAGGTACCCGGGGATCACTTTTTTAAAGGTTGTCAACACGCTTGAAAGCCATCGGATGTTGTCATGGTGGACATCATGGGTGAGATCATGGCGGTAATCACTTTACATCAGGTGAACCGTCCGCTCACTTGCTAGATGTACGAATCTCAATGCAACAAAACAACACAACAATATACTGATTTAAGATGGTATAGTCTTTAATCTAATCTTGTCTCTCGATGTTGTCTAATTTAACGGTTGGGACCCTGATATATCTCACCCATAAATTGCGAAGTTTAACTAAGGAACACAACTAGCTGCTACAAGTAGCTTGCAAATTTTCTAGAGCTTCGTTAAAGATGAACCATTAAACAATGTTGAACGTTTAAACATGGCATAATAACGACATAAATGTTGGACTAATGTAATGTATAATCGACATGGTAAGGAGGTGCGGTCTGGATATATAATTCTAACCGGTCACTATTAAACATTTCGGAAACATCAAAGTAAATTAATTCAATCATTATTGGTCAGATAACCTTCAGGCGAGCCGAGACAAACATTTTTTTAATTAAAAGTACGGTTAGTGATCATGACATGACTCGGTGACGCTGTTGCTAAGCTATTGGCTTCCCCAGGGGATAGTGGGTTCGATTCCCACACGGGACAAGAATTTGTGTGAATCACAGATAATTGTTCTGGATCTGGGTGGCTGTTCCCAAGGAGGGTTGACGTCGGGCAGATTTAATAAACCTAGCCAACTGAAAAATACTCTATTTCACCAATGACTTATACTGAAGGATAGGCACTTTGGGAGCCGCGGTCTTAGAGAAGACTGGCGTGAAGAAGAACAGTCCACAAAACTCTAAATATTAAATCGACTCCATTATAATCGTAGCAATTTTCACTGAAACTTGCAGCTGTAGAGACATGAGTCAATTGTTATCGCTTAATTTATCCAAATGACGTAATAAAATACAACCAGCATATTTGATACTAATTAATGTTGAAATAAAAAAAAATATTATTTTTTTTCACTAAATATCTCGGTTTTCTTATTTATTAATTTAATCTATTTTTAGGATGTGTTTATTTTTATTTTTAAAAATAGGGTTTATAAATAAAAATTAACGCTTAGGTATATTTTTTGTATATAATAAATACTTAAATAGGGCCCGACCAGATGGAAGCTATCGGCAGGGGAGACCAAACGGCCGAGGGCTAGGGTGAAAGGGAGAGAAAATATTATTAGTGTCTGGGTGCAAATCCGGAAGATGTGATTTGATCCCCACCGCGGCGAAAATTTTTCGTCCATTTTTATACAAAAAAATTAATTTAATATTTTACATTTCTTTCTGTTTTAATCGGATGAGTTATGTAATGTACTGAAGATACACCAGTTTTATTCCAAAATACTATATAATTATATACCAGCAGATTGACAACGATAAAATTTTATTGCCGTAACAAAGTAGTCGTAATAATTTATGTGCTTATTTATTCTGAACTCGTGAGAAATTCGGTTTACCACTCTTTTATTATCCTCCGTGCACTACACGAATCACACATAAATCGGGTCAAAAACAATATTTAATACTGTAAAAGGTAAATAAAAAGAAATACAACCTCCCTTTCAATTTAGACGATTGTTTTCGGCCCGCTGTGGTGTCGGAACGGTGCGGGAGTCGTAATGCGCTCGAACGATCAATTTTTCAAACAAACGGTGCGGCACCGATGCCGTACACACACGACAGACAGTAGGAGGCGACAATGTCGCCAATTCCAAGTGTTGTACTCATTTCCATATTGCCTAGTGCGCCGAATAGAAGTCTATTTCAATTTCGAATTTTCATTTATGTATTTATAATTAATATTAACGTGAAAGTATTTATAAAAACAGGGGAAATACGTCCAGAATTTAATAAAATGTAGTAGGCGATTACCGCCACCCATTATCATCTTGTCTTGTGTCTTGTATTAACTGATGTTTGTGCTTTCAGTCCCGAGACTATTAAAGCTTCATCTGCCTCAGAACCGGTGGGCTAGCCAGTTTATCATCTAGAACATCCGATGGCTTGCGGGTGCGTTGGAAGCCTTTAAAAAACTGGGTCCCAGTTACCTCACTCGCCAGACGAAACAGGATAGTTTAATACTTCCACTTCACGCTCATAAGCCATTTTTTTTTTCCCTTTCTTTGGAATGATTAAATTATTTCTATGGAATGAGTCCAAGCTTGATATTGAATCAAATCTTCAAATTAAAATTAAAACCATTTTAAAATCTTTATTTATTTAGGCTTTGTTTGCGCGGTTTAAAATTGTATATACATTTATTTCACATCAATCAGATGATTTAATCTAATTATGCGATAAAAATTAAAAAATGCCGCTATGATGTATATAAAAAAAATGTCGCTCGTGTTTTTAACTACCAGAACGATTCTAAGCGCGTAATAATTATGTTATGATAAAAGTTGCCCAGTTGAAATAAATTTTAAATACATATTATATTCAATAATAAACGACACGATGCCGTCATTAAAGTGGTTGAAGACTTTTAAAAGAAATTGTGCTAATTGGTAAGTACGCTTATTTTTAATTTTGAATATTTAGAAAAAATTCTAAGATAGGCAGTTACATATAGAAATTGATTTTTTTTATTAGTATTTCAATAGTTATCTAGACACAATAAAGGCCCATTTACACGATGCCATTTTCTTGTACATACAAGAGCATTATTGAATGCAATAAGTTGCACGCAATAATTGACCATCAAGAATTGTAAGCAACAGTTTACACGCAGATATAATAAAAAAAATTAAATGCGATTATTGTATGCAAGTCTTGACAGGAAATAATTGCAAAGGTCTTTTGTTTACACCAATGCAATTATGTTTAGGCGATTATTGCTTTCAAGTTTTGACTTGTCTAAACACATGCTTGTATGTGCGTGTACAATTTATTGGCGTGTTGCTTCAAGTATTGCACGTATTTGCGTTGACAAATTTTTCATGCAATTGTTGAACGTTTTACAAAGGGCTGTTTTTTTTTTTAAAATGGCTCAATAATAAGTGTTCAAGTTAGACTATGCCGATTAAATATATTTCATTGAGATTTATTTATTATGATCCATATATTATTATTCATATTTTTATCCAACTTTTTTACGACCTTTTCTCAATATTTCTATCCTCAAAAGAACAGCAATGATTAAATACCCTCACTCATTGCACAAATTTTTGCCAAGGAAGAGAGAATGCAATTGAATAAAAGAATTGCTTAAGAAATTATTGTGTGTGCTGTTTACACCAAGGAAAGTTTTGAAACAAAACTTGAAGCAAGTCTTGTTCAACAGGCAAGAATGTTATGTGCTGTTTAGACCATGCAACTCATTTATTGCTTCAATTTAATTGTATACTACAGGCAAGAAACTTGCACCGTGTAAATGGGCCTTAAGATAATCCATAAAATCCAGGAAATGCATAATATTTTCATAGTGAACCCAAAAATTTTTACAAAAATACCAGTATAGTATCGTCAGTTTAGTTTATAAGACAAAGGTAGAATTATTTAATCAAAGCAATTAATAATGGAAGTCTGAATCGATATACCTGGTGCAAAATTAATAACTAAATTGTTTCAGTCCGAAAGTTTAATTAATAATAATTGTCTTTGTTATCAATCATATTAGATATAATTAAATATATACTGACTATTTATGTCCCTACAATAATACTACATTGTAGCTTTATGATAAAACTAGCCGCTACCCTCGACTACGTCTGCGTAGAATAGGCTGCAGGCGTAACATTCAGACAGAAAGACAAATATACATAAAATATGTATATAAATTATAGCCTATGTCTTATTCTGATGTATAAGCTATATTATTGTAAAGTTTCATTAAAATCCATTCAGTAGTATTTGCGTGAAAGAGTAACAAACATCCATCCATACATACAAACTTTCGCGTTTATAATATTAGTAAGGATGACAAATAGCACTTTAACCGACGGATGATATAAGCATAAAGAAAAATAACAGTAAATGCTGATTTGTGCCTATTACAGACGAAAGAAATATAAGTAACATTTTTTTTTCTTAAATATATAAATTACGTTACAATATCTTGCTCGGTTCAGGTTTTCATTTCATTTACATCACCAGTTCCCCATAAAATGGTTATGTAATTTACTAATTCCAAACAGTAACGCTTTGATCAATAAATCGATGGGTCCTTTGTACAAGGGCCAAACTAACAAATTGGTTATTTTGTGTTTTTTATGGTAAACGCTATGAATAATTATAATTAATTAAATGAGCTATTAAAAAATGTAATTTCTGCATGGAAGCACTATTTTAGGACAGTATAACGGCGTTTGTAGTTTGAACCTACAAGGGCCAAAGAGTTATTTGAGACTTATACATAGGGACTTCCCGTGAGTTTGTTTATGTTATGAGGCAATCTGCTGGCTGATATACAGACTTATAATTTAAAAGGACCAAATGACCGCGCTGTGATTCCATAATTATTTAATTGAGTTTTTACTATCGTTATTAGATCAATAAGCTTAAGATGACGGCTAATTATCAACAAATCTGCTAGCACAATTATTTTAAAAACGGCCGTGTAACTCCTGAAAATTAAATAAAATTTGAAAATTACTTAGAAAAATCAAGCTAGATCCTTAAAAGAAAAAGATAAACGCCATTCCCAAAATAATACAAAAATCTTCGGTGCAACATTAGGTTTGAAAGAAGTGTTACTGTCCCCCAATGGTGACATGTATTTTATATTATTGCAAACGATTGAAAGTACATAACTTATCAGTATTTGATATTGGGAATTTAATTTGCACATATGTTAATTATGAAATGAACAAATTTGCAATCAACCGAAATAGCAAGATGCATTTAAGATATAATGAAATTAAAACAATCGAAGGTTGTGATGACTTCAGAATTTGGTCACTGATTTTGACAAGCCAAAACCGAAACAGAATTATGTTTTTTATGTAGTTTATTTATTAGTTTTTTTTGTAGCTATCTAAGTAAATAAAAAAACCTTTACTAAGTATATTAGTTGGTTTCTAGCTAGGGCCGAAAGCCCTATCTAGGGACCTAATTAGGGCTTTATTTTTATTTACGACATTAAGTTTTTATTTTGTTCATCTTTATATGATTTTGTTAAAAAAATATTATGTTAAAAACATTATTTTTTATTACATTACATAATTGGATTGAATGGAGATATTTAATAAATTATAGTTAGCTACCTCATTTTTTATTTTTTTAACTATTTCTTAATAAAATACAATTTATTTTAAATGCGAGTCTATAAATAAATATTCTTAAATGCAGGCTGTTTTATTTTTTTTTGTTTCAATAAAAAAATAAGTCTATTTTGTATTATGTATTATTTAAATGATCTAACTGAAAGCACGATTATTATATTGCCAGATCGTACGACGAATAAGTACCAATATGACATATTGACCACAATTCCTAAATATATTTTATTCAGTTTAATGAGTTATCAACTTAATTCAATTGTCAATAAATTTTATGAGTAAATTGTAAATATATTTACATTTCCTGAAATTAACTTAATATGCGTATAACGGCCAATTTGATTTAGGGTGTTTGCGAATGAGGACGCATTAAAAATATTATAAATGTTACTATATTTTAATATTTAATAAAAGTATTACACTTTTGATATGGGTTCTCTGTGTAGGCGTGTTGTAAGAGTTTTAATCTGTTGCAGTAGCGTATAGTGTTTTTGAATAAAAGTCAATAACATAATAAATTATATCTCACTAATGTCCATCATTATTGTTATAAAATAAACAGTGACAAAAAAGTTATTCATATACAAATATTAATATGTCACTAAAATCAATGGTGTATAATTATTTTATTTAAAATTTAAATCCGAAGGATAAAATTACTACCGGTTCTCGTTGAAAGATCACGCCTTTCTCATCTTTAATCAGTCTCATTGATTTTAAAAAATAATGAAGGTTAAACAAGAAGTTGGAGACGAAAGATGTATGAACAAAATAATTACAATTTCTTATTAATATTAAAAAATAATTCCTTACTGTTCCACTTTTTCTTTTTATTATTTATGGTTAAATCCAATAATACTTAAATAAAAGAAGCATTGCAAATTGGTTAAATTTATGAAGATTTTTTTTCCATTCTTATTAATGCATATTTA